AAGCATCTAAATTTATTATTCAAAGTTTTAATAACATATGTCTTGCAATAACGCAGGAACACTTCATGATTTCACATTTCATATGGATAGTGTATCCTACATAAGGTTAGTAACTAATTCAAGTTTTTCTGTTGAATTTGTTGAACCGATCAATGTTTATTTAAAGGAAAGAATTTTCAGTCAAAAAGGCTTAAACCCTTAATAATTTTTTGTACTTTTTCGCATCGTTTCTTTGTTTGATATTGTCTTTTTACACATCTTAAATGTCTGACTTTTATGAACGTATTCATGTACTCTTTTTTATATATGGACTGTTTCCATTATGAAAAATGATGAGAATAAGGCTAACGTTTCAAGATTGTTCACATCTAAGTAATAAACTTTCAGATCTTCACATTTTCTACTATTATTTATTCTGATAATTTTATTTATTATTCTTAAAGGTGATTATTTTACTTTTTTGTGCTTTCTGTGAAATATTGTAGTCGAAAATATTATGGTCACATATTTTGTTTTTTTATTTTTCCTAATTTCTTAAACTTTTATTTGTACATTCTAAATTTGTCGGTGTATATTGCATATAGGATCAACACAAGGATCCCAGTTATCGACTTTTGAAAATTATTAAAGCAGTATAAGGAAGTTTTTGGCAACTCTCACAAAATTTCACTTTCCCGGAAAACACCTTAAATATTGAATATAGGGGTAATTTACTATGAGTTTTTCAATAAGTGATTAGTGATAACAAGACAAAATATAATTTAATTTTCGTGAATGAATAATATTTCAAGATTACACCAAAAGTGTAAGCATAACTGGTACCAATTTTTCTTAGGCACGATACTGAAAATAAAAAAATACACAATTAAATGTTTAGAACTACAATTTTACATATTTATTATATTACAAGTATAGAAATTTTATAATGGAATTTAATTTGGGTACCTTGGAATTGCTCACATTAATTTTTTTTCATCTTCATTTTTATTTCATATTATTTTTATTTCTCTAAATATTTTATTATTGTTTTTATATTTTTGCTTTAATTAACCATAAATCAACGAAGGACAGAATCTTTTTTACCAAACATCCTTGAAAAATATCTTAATAAGCAAAACATTAAGGCTCAACAAAAATTGTATATGTATAACATTGAATTAGCGTGAGTGAAAGATAGCGTAGAGAAAGTTTAAAAATGGAGAAAAGGAATAGCTAAAAAACAATTTTTTTTTTTAATAATTTTTCTTAAGTGATTTATGAAAAAGCTTAGAGGAATACATCACATGGAAATAATTTTTATATTTTTGCTTCCGTTTTCCGTTCAAAATTAAAAGTAGAAGAAAAAAATAAAGTAGAAAAGTTAAGAGAAATGAAAATAGCATTTAGCTTGTAGGGAAGACGTATAGTACTTGTGCTTGTGCTTCCAATGATAAATTTTTATTAAATTCCTTTTTGCGTAGCTGACATACTATATACATACATACACATTGTGTTGTTAATACATGTACATAGATATATCTCCCCTTGATATACAAGATTCCTTGTAACTATATTTTTGCTTGAAATTTTCAACAATCTTAAAGAATTTTTAAAGAAATTTTTTAGTGAAAAAATCAAATTTAATTTTAAAGTTCTATTTAAATTTTTGGTTTAAATATTTTTTCTTTATCATAAAAATATTTCGAATGATAGCAAAGTTGCGTTCTTCTTTTTTGTAATATGAGGAGTAGGAAATTTTTTAATAAGTAAAGAAAAAATTCGTGTTCAAAATGCAATATAAAAATATTTTTTCTCTATATAAACTTTATAATTATTAATTATCAAAATTTTTATATTTTGGTATACTCGCCAAAGTTTTTAGTAGTAGTATAGTATTAGTAGTAGTATTAGTAGTGGTATAGTAAAGTAGTACTATCAGTAGTATTATTAGTAGTATTAGTAGCATTACAATAGAAGTAGTGACAGAAGAGCGCTCCACGCGAGTACTAGTCAACTAAGATGTTCATTAACAAACTAATACAACACATTACACGTACACTCCCTAAAACCATCCGACTTCATTTATGAATATCAGCTGGTTCCTCGTCATGGACACCTCAGAAAGTAAATCTGGACAGTCGAACGCGAATTTTCTCAGATATTTACTTATCTTCCACAAATATTTCCTATTGTTTCGTGATAATAATCATTAAATAATTTAAATATTTTTAAAATACTTAAAATACCGAAAAATTTTTAAATGCTAACAAAAGACTGATGTGGTTAGCATATTGGTAAATTCTTAAACGTCAAATTTTACAAAATCTGAGTTGTCTGAGTTTACGGATACTCTACTACGTTTTTACTCTCAGTCAAAGTTTAAATTCTTAAACGTTTAAAAAAAGTCAATTAATCGTCAAAATTGTAGATTTTTTTTTTTACATGCAGACAGTCTGACGTAGTAATTCAGTAAATAAATTTGATGTGTTGAGTGACTATCATTACGTTAAAAATAATATAAAAAATATTTTTATTGTTAATTTTTAATATGTAAGTATAAATTTATTTTAAATCTAAAAAAAAATTTTTTTTTGTTTTGACGTTTACGGATGATCAAAATTCAAAGTCAATTACGGGTAAAAAGTTTACTAGATTTCTGTCCGTAAAAGTTTTAGTTTCAGACAGTTTGCAGACTAAAATCAAAATTTTGACGTTAAAGAATTTGCGGTATAACTGACTGTTATGTGTATTGTTTGGTAAAGTGAAAGTGTTACAGAATGTTATAAAAATGCCTTTCAAATATTTCTTTCCAATTTTTAGGGCATTAGTAAGCTTATAGTTAACATGCCTAGAAAAATGAAAATTTGACTCTTAGTAAAGTTTCGCTTTGTGCTACCTGAATTCCTTGAAATGCTCGCCAGTTAGGTTGGGTAACAACCAGAACTCAAATATCAAAGTTTAGTCCCATAGATATGATAAATGTAATTTCGGCTGCAGTTTGGTTTCCGAGCCCTGATCATTCCAAAAAATTCAAATGTTCATTGTTTTAACAGTACAAATTTCAATATTAAATTTCAAGGAAATTGGTTGATTATTTCTTTTAATATGGCCAAGCACGAAAACTCAGGTATATTATGACAATTTATATAAGGTTTCTACTGACTATATTCAAATATGAAAATAAAAATGCGTGTCCTTTTTTTTTTTAAATATTTTATATATAACAAATTGTTTATTTTTCCCTTAAATTATTAAAAATTTCATTTTTTTCTTTTATTTTACTTTAATTACATTCATTTTTTGTGTTCTCCTTTTTTATATAATATATTATACAAATATACAGTTATATATATTTTTTAAGTGTTACCATTACATATACGGTCATAAATTACAATTGTTTGCCTTCAATTTCATGTACATGTGCCGTCCATGTTTGTATATATATATATATATGCATGTATGTAACGCTCTATTTAATTTTTTTTATTTTAATTACAATAATATTGTATTCCTTTTTTATTATTTTTATTCGAATTTAGTTGATTTTTTTTTCATTTTTTAGTATTTAATTTTAATATTTATTACAATAAAAAATAAGAAAAAAAAAGAAAATTCTTTTAGTTTTATTTTTACATTTTTTGTTTTTTTTTTATTTATTTTTTAAATTTTAAAGTGAATAACATTCACTTAGACTTTAATTAAATTAATGAAGTTTTTTTTTCGTTTTTGTTTTATTTTTTCTTTTTAGTTTTACATAATGTACAATTAAATTATATTAAACTTTGGTATGAATTTAATTTTATATTTTTTTAAATTTTTTTTTATAAATACAAATGTGAAGATTTATTTTTTTTTTGTTTTTAATTTTAATTTTTATATTAAAAAATATACGATAATAAACGAAAAACAATAAAAGGATAAAAGGTTTGTTTGTATAGTGTAAATGCTTTCGGTTTTGTGTAATTTTTTTTTTTTCTTAAAGTTTTCATTTTTATTTTACTTTGTATTGCCTTCGAGTTACAATATTAGGGATTAGCTATTTTATTAAAATTCCACAATATTTTTTGTTTAAATAACACCTAAATGCTGAGCAACACGCTTTATAACAGTCTGACCATAGAAGCTCGTTTCAATGAAACTATTTTGAGTTTCAATACTCGTATTAAAGATTTGAAAATTTCAAATTTTCAATTTTTTATAATTTTTAAGAGATTTTTTGAGACAAATTTTCGCAATTATTTTCTAGCCTTTTCTACTAGACGCGTCACTTTTATGTTTTTATGTTTTATTTTTTACTGACTGTCACATTTTTTTGGCATTCTATGTCTAGCGAAATGTGATGTGACAGAAGAAATAACTCTCGAAATTTTTCGATGTTAAAAGCTTAGAAAATTGTTTTTAAATAAAGTGGTGACAGAAAAAATTATAAATAACAGAAAAATGGTAAATTAGAGAAAGAGGGATGTTTTCGAAATTTTTTTTTTTGGTTTTGTTTTATTAAAATAGAGGCAAAAGTGATAAAGAAACTTAAGAAAATGAATTTTTATACCTAATCATACTTATATCTTTTCTATTTCCTTTAAATTGTATTTTTCAGCAGCTTTTATATCTCCGTTGACAACAAATAACAATATACACTATTAAATGTGATAAAAAAAATGTGATAATTTAAAAAAAAAATAAATATTGAGACGCGCGTCTAGAAGAATAGCAAAACTGTCACCTCACACATTTTTATATGCGTCGCGTCTAATAGAATAAGCCTAATAATTTTCTTGTTAAACCTTTAAAGGCTAGATAAGTTGGCTAAATTTTTCAAAAAGTTTAATATGTCATATTCTCTCTATATATTGTTGAGGTAAAATATTCTATTAGCACGTTTTTTTAGAACATGATGTAGCAAATTTCATATACATAAATTTAGTATAAAAATGAAGTTTATTATTCGACAAATAAAATCCAAATATTATATACGGATATTTAGCCATTACTGTGCTGTATTATTAAACAGTATTTGTACTGTAAATTAAAATATTAAAAATTCTGCTTTCATAATTAGTTTTTTTTTTAAAGGTACCACATTTAAAATTGATATAGTGTTAGAAAATCAGTCATTATTTTAAATTATTTTGCAAGATTTGACAAAAAAAGGTGCATGCACAAAATTTATGACTATGTTTATTACAAAAATTTTCACTAAGTACAAAACTGAGTTATTCAATATGTTTTTTATCGAAATGTATACCAAATACGTAGGTTTTTTGACACTAGTAGGTTACACAACATTAAAGAAAGAATTTCTTTTATTGATTTTAATGTCGAAAATTCGAACTTACAACTTTTTTCTTCAAAATCTACGTGGAATGAAGATAATGTTCGTTGGTTTAATCCCAAATTGTCTTAACCTTTTGCTGTTATTTAACTGTTATTTTAATGCAATAGTTACAAGTTTTGTTTTAATAATTTTAATCAAAAATATTGAAATAAAAATTTTGTTTTTATTTAAATTTTTATTTTGTGTTAAGTTCTGCTCACTGTACAGGTTATACAAGGTTTGTTGCTCTTTCAATTTTTTTTTTCAATTTATTTTTGAATGTTTTTTTTTGTTTTAGTATATTTTGTTTGTTTGTTTCTTTTCTTGTTTTTTTTTTGTTTATATCACTCTTATTATTAATAGAAAAATAAACTAATATCACCTCAATGTATGAATGTATATATATGTATATGTATATATATATATATTATATAATTTGTTTTATTTTACACATACAAGTGTATACACATATACATACATATGTACATGTATATTCACTTTTTATTTCATATTTTTACATTTTTTTTTAATTTTTTGTTTTTTTTTTTTCTGTGTAAAATACTTGCTTTATTGATTTCTATCTATTTAATTTTCTTTTCTAAGTTTTTTTTCAGATTTCCTTTCCTTTTGTTTCAAGTTTTTAATTTTTAAGATTTTTTGTGTTTGTTTCGTTTTTCTTTTTTTTTTAATATTTTCAAGAAAAATTTTTTTGCTTTTTATTTTATTTTTCAAATCATAAGAAATAATAAAATAAAAAAGTCAATAATATTTTTGTGTATGTAGTAGTTATGCAAAATGTTGAATAATAATTTTAATTTTCCTTTTTTTTTGTATTTTTTTCTTGATTTTTTAATTTTTCTTGTTTAGTTTTTTTGGATTTTTTCAAAATATATCATAAAAAATGCAAAATTAAATTTTACATAATGAAAATGAGAAACAAATTTGTAAATTTACGAAAAGAAAAAATTATTATTGGAAAAAAAAAATTAATAAATATCTATGTATTTTATTTTATATAGGCTATAAATGTAATAGTATTAGTTGTTAATTAGTATTAGTATTCAATATTAAAGTATGTCATCTATTAGTGAACAATATTGTAGATCCAAAAGCAATTATAAATAAGAATAAGTTTATTGATTGAATTGTTGATGAACTAGGATCACCACATTTTCCTGTAAAAAAAAAACAAATAATGAAAAAAACAAAATATTATTATAATTATATGCGTGCGTAATCAATTTTCAGAAATTTCTATAAATTTAAATTTACAAGAAATTGAACAAAAATGAATTGAAAAATATTTATAAAATTATTTTAAAATTAATAAAAATTAGATAATTTTTTGGTTTAAAACTGTATTGGGTGTAAATATTTGCAAAAATTGAGTAATATAAAAAAATTAAATTCAAGCGTAATTGATATGAATTCAAAATTTAACCCTGGCAGTCACTAAGAGTGTAAATAAGAGCAATTTCAATAATATGCAAAATAAAAAATAATTATCATTTTAATATTCAATAATTAATAACTAGTGGCTTCTAATTGAAAAATTTGTCTATTAACCTACTAAAATTTATAAAATGTTATTTAAACACAATCTGTATACAGTTAACATGTTTTTTTTTCGGAATCCATTCATTGCGACCAGGGTATAGGGCTGATTTCCAAACATTTCGTTCAATGAATGTCATATCATCTCGAATGGCCTTGACGAAGCCTTTCCAATAACACGCTTTCCAAATATATTTGATAACTGTCTATTTCAATATAACAGAGCTTAAGAAAATTTCTTGTGATTTTCAAACCGACATTTTATCCAAAAAATGTTTTCTTATATCGTCGCGGATTATTTTAAAATTTTCTAAAATTTCATAGCTTTTTTTCAGATTTGCGATTTTTTAATGAGAAAATCAGGGTGTGATATGAATGATAATTGGAAAAATAACGACTCTCAAGAAAACTGGATTTACAAAATAGATATTCTCAACTTGGCTGAATCTCCATTTGTTTTTTTTATGGTAAGAGAGAAATGCTCTTTTGTTTTGTTTTTATTGAAACAGTCTAAAATAATATTTTTTTATCCCTCTTAAGTGTTAAGTGTTAAGAAATTTTTTTGATTTTACAACTCTTTCTGAAAAGGTTAAATTCGAATTTCTGATTTGCTACCAATTAAGTTGAAAAACATTAAAAGATGAACAGTATTTGAGATTAATTAAATTTTATTAAAATAATTATTTCCAAATTGAATCTTTTGTTTGTTAATTTTTTACATTTTAAATAACACTCAACGTTATGAAATGAATAAGATGAAAAGAAATTCGAAAATAAGAGAATTTAGTTTTTCCAGTTCTATGAATGTTCCTACTAAAATTATTTTTCTTTCATCGTGTATATATTTGCAACTTTTATTGTGAATTTTTCTAAATTCAAAATAATTCTGTATAAATTTTTTTAATTATCTTAAATGCAATAACAATAATTAAAAGGTATTATCGCAACACTTAAAATTCCAATTACAATACTAAATTCCCTTTAATAGTTATTTACACCTTTATAACAGGTTAAACACATTCAAAACAAAAACAAAAGGGAAAAACACTCTTAAATGAATGTTTTTAATACAAAATAAAAAAAAATGTTTTAAATAATTCACCATTCTTTCCCCCTCTTTTTTTTAACAAAAATGCAATCGAAAAAAAATAAAAAAAGTTTTATTATTTTTTTTTATTTCTAAACTTACCAGCTTTTTTAATAGTTGCTACCAAATGGTGTTCTGGTGGTTTCATTTGGCCCCTAAGACATGAATCACCAACAATCATTAGTTTCGTTTCTAGGTTACCAGCCCCTTCTTGTGGTTGATAAGTGATACAGACCGCATGTGAAGTAGCTGAATTTTTTGCTATCACGTACACAGTACCATTTTCAATCCAATGTCCATGACAATAGTATACTGTTACAATAGTAGAGCAAAAATTAAAAAGAGAAAATGAAATGTACTTATATAATATTAAAAAAAAATAATTCTAAAGAAATTATTTTTGTAGAAATTGCTAAGGAAAAACTTAATGTACAAAACAAAAACACAAAAACAAACAAATTCTTTTATTATTCTGTTTTATTTCCTCTCCCTCTCTATGCATCATATTTTATTTTCTCTTTATTCTTTTATTATGAAAGTAAAAAATTTTGTAAGTAACTTCAAATAGAATTTTTCAATTTCGCCTTTAATGCCAACTTGCACTCGAGACAAAACAGAAAATTTAAATTTTCGCCAAAAAAAATGAAGTAACTTCGGCTATTTTGTTTCAAAACCTACTTAGTACATTTAGAAAAATAGTAAAATTTGTTGACGTTTCTATCTAAAATTGATGTGATTGACATTTCCTGCGAACGATTATAAATTCGACATCCACAGTAATTTTGTAGGATCCTGACTATATTCTTGTAAAACAGGCTCCCATTCAGTATTAATTATATTAAATGAAAAATTCGTTAATATTAAGAGGAACAGTTTTGAATAAAAAATTTAAAATATTTTCTTTATCAAAAATTTAAGCATGTTTTACATTATATTGCCTCTATTGCTAGAATTCAATATTTCTATATTGAATTGTAGCCTAACTTTAAAATTAGTTCATTTCGATTAAGGTTCATCGAGTTGAAAATAAAAAACTTATGAAATCACCCAGTATAAATAAATGCTTTAGTTGATTTTCCAATTTTTAAAATTAGGTCAAAATTTTTATAGTGTGCAAAAAACACTTATATACTTGCATATAGTTAACAAAAAAGAGAAAAAAAAGACTAAAAAATAATAACAATAATTGTATTTTGAGTCCACAGAGCTTTGGCGAAACTGACATTATTAACGTAAATGTTTATTTTTTTCTCTTTTATTTTTCTTGTCTTTTATGCTTTGCTATTTAATTTCTTGTTTTATAATACTGGTGAACTAATTTTCATTCCTTCTGGTGCATTAAGTAAGTTTCCCTATACCCTTTTAATATGTTGAGTAAATATTGTAAAAGAGTGTATTTTTATAATGTTTATACATACGTCGTATTTGCATTATAATGAAACATTCATGCATTTTATATAACTCAGCACATATTTAAAAAACATTTTTTACAGAGCTTGTATATTGCATGTACATAGGTACATATAAGGCAATGTGTTCATGGATTATTTTTACTCTGCTTGTACTGAATTTAACTAGAAGTTTTTAAGGAAACACCAACGTTATATTTATGTTTTTGAGCAAAAAGTAAAACGCAGACATACGTACATAATGCAATAGATGTTTTTTTGTTTTAAAAAAGCAAAACCAATTTCGAAAAACTTAGTGTGTAAAAGTAAAAAGGAAAATTATTTAAAGCCATTCGGTTAAAACTATATTCAAATTGTAAAGGCAAATTTAAAAGTTTTTATCCCTACAATATTCGTATGATATATAAAAGTAAAGCTTTAATAGAAAATTTGTCCAATTATAAGCTTCTTAACTTGAGAATCATCTCTGAATAGAGACGAGCATAGAATTTTGGATCCTGTACCTATTTGGGAAGAATTATTAAATTATTACCAGCTGCAAAAGTCAAACAGTTAAAAGAAAACAAATTGAAAAAGTTTAAATTGACAGTTACGGCGTATCACAAAATGGAAATGTTCGTAAGTTCACGGAATACCGTTCGTACAAAGTTTAATTCTTGCCACTTTCTAATAACTTTCGCCACATTAAATTTACATAAATCCACACAGATATTATGTAGGATTCTCTCATTTTAAATTAAAAAGTGTAAAACGAGAAAAAAAAGACAGAATAATATTTTTTATAAAAAATAACACGAAATATCGATATAATTTAAAAAAGTGCAAACAAATCAATGCCATTATTTCAAAGGTAATAAAATTTTCCTTTTACTTTTCCCTTCATCATATTCCCTTTTTAGCACTTTTCCAAAAAAGTGCTTATTAGTTTCACTCTGTCCGTCCGTCCGCCCGTGAACATGTTATAAAACTTCTACATCCTTGAAGATAGAAAGCTGAAATTTAATATGTCCATATATCTTTTCTAGAGGCTTATTTCAGTAGATGATTCAGTAGATTTTTACGTACCCACCCAAAACCCTAAAAATGCAATTTTTTAAGTATTTGTTGCAATGAAACCATAAGCATTTTTCAAATTTTGCAAACGCAGAAAGCCAGCGGCTTGCTTCTCCTATCGCGGCATACTATAGTCAAACTTTAAAAGAACAAAATGGCCGTTTAAATTTACCGTTATCTAAAATCTGTTTTTTCCAAATTTTTGAGGTCGTTTTTCTTCTAGACCCCAGGTTGTAGGAGCCTGAAATTTCAGCAGCTTTTAGACACTAATAAATAGTTTATTTCATTGGAAAAAAATTTTTTTCCATCTCCACCCCCCTCAAGTTATCGCCTCTTGAAATTTGTAAAATTTGAATTTTTGACGCCTTAAATTTCCGAAACCGCAAGCTTTTTTTTCTGTAAACGCAAAAAGGTATCGGTAAATTCCATGACATTAAAAAATGTAATTAATTTTCTTAACTCATTTTGTTAACCCGTCTTTAAATTAATTTTTGTTTGCATAAATGAAGCAAAATGACTGCATAAATCGTTCATCCTATATTTATGCAATCCTAGAAATAGTTTCGTATATGAATGAAAATAATTTTAATAGTGTGGTAGGTACGAGTATACATAGACTGTATTTAAAAGCAGTATTTTCATTTGTTTAAGGGAAAAGTGCTACAATACAAACCATTGGTTTGACCCAACTTTATTTATATTTATGTCGTGTTACTTTTGTTTATAGAAACTGTATAATATTTTTTTTTTGTAATGGTTGAAAATTACCGTCATTATAAGTTAAAATGAAAGAATTTGTTATAGTTTACTTACATTAAGTTCATACTAACTATAAGATTTAAATATTGCAAATTTAATATTTAAGTTTTTTAAAATAGTTTAAATATCTTAAACTTTTTTCTCAAATAACTAGAGAAACCTTGATGTCAAAAAATACTTCTGTGTTCTAGCATATTGTAAGTAAGAAGTAATTAAAAAATAAAATAAAAGACATATTAAGAACTGAAAAAAAAATATACTTGAAAATATTAAGAATATCTTTGGCGTTTGCAAAATTTAAAAAATCATTGTTCACTTCTTAGAAAATCAACGATTTTGGAACAGCATTAAAGAAGAATATATTTTTTTATAAATCATCGTAATATACAAGGAAATAATATGCAAGGATTAAAATTGGTAGTATCTAAGTGTTCTATAACTTAGAATACTTATTTAAAGCAAAAGGTCTTAATAACTTACTATTTTTTGGTTTTTAAGTTTCATCAGGTTTAAAAGAAGTGTTGTTTTATCGATAATATGCATCAGTATCAGTATTTAAAATTTATTGAGATCAAACAAAAAATTTATTCGAAATAGAAAACTAAAAGGAAATTGCAGCAAAAAAGTAATTTTAAACAATTAAAATGCACAATTTTGTCAACCTTAATTGTTAGAGTAAAAAAAGGCAATAATTTCAATTGAATTGCTATACCATACTGATTTAATTATCAATGAAATTTGATTAAATTAAAAATTCCAATTATGTTCATTTCAAACCCCATATATATATTACATTATTATGTAATATGCATTTATACCATAAAGGAGATTATATACTACTACATACAATAACAATATTATTTACATAATATGTATATATATGTAAATATGTACATACCTTCATCACCTTCTAAATCACACTGTTGTTTTGTTTCAACTTCAATAACATTTTTATCATCGTTACAACCAATCGTAAAATAACGTTGCTCTTTATAATTGACAATACAACCGGGTGTATCGCGACGACTTCGTTGATTTAAAATTTCAATTTTCGATTGATGTGCATTAATTTTAACTGTTAATTCATTATCATTACTATTGTTATTATTATTATTATTATTTTTAGATTTTTTCTTGTTATTATTATTACCACTATCTTTATTATCTTTATTGTTACTATTTGATAATGATATATTGGTATTTGTTGATGATGGTGATGATGATAATGGTAATTTTTGTGATGACGATATTATTTTTGTTGATGATGGTGATATTGATAATTCTGATAAACTTTCGTTTTCAATTTCATGCCTTCGAGATGTTTCTAACATTTTCAATGATTTTTTCATTTCAATAAAATCTTTAATTAATTTCTTATTGAAATGAATTTCTTTGTTATAATGATTATTGCTATTGGCATTTGTTATAGTTGTATCATTATTATCATCATTATTACTATTATTATTATTATCATTATTGTTATTATTATTATTATAGTTATTTTTATTAGTATTTGAAATTGACAGTTCATCGGTATTTACATTGATCGGTATTTGAGCAATATTAGTTAAATCTGATATTATTGTTGTTGTTAAATCAATTGATGGTGATGATATTATTCCATTTGATAAAATTTCAATTCTTTCATTATTATTTTCTTTTAATATTTGAAAATTTTCCTGCTCATGATTTAAATCAATTCTATTAAATAATTTTGTTTCTCTTTTACGGCGTCGCCGTCGTAGTCGTCGTTGCTCCTGTTGTTCATTATTTAAAATATTTGTATGTAATTGTCGATAGTTTACAATTGTACCGGAATTTCCATTTATTTCTATTCCATTTTCATTATTTCCATTAAAATGTTTCTTATAATATGGTAATGATGATGCTGACGATGATGATGATGACGACGATAACGATGATGATAAAATATCAGCTTCTCCAACAGCTAATACCAATGGTGGTTCAAGTGGTAGGGTTGGTAGTTGAGTAGTTTCGTCGGAATTTTGAAAACTAAATGTACCATGTCTGGAATTTTAAATGAGAAAAAAATATAAATATATGTATTTCTACTGTATAAATATATACATATGTATATAAAATTAAAAAAATAAATATGTGTACAGAAAAAATAAAAAAATGGATAGAAAAAAGAGCAGTACAGGATAATATAAAATTTTCTACTCTAATTTATTAAAAAGCTATAGTAAAAAAACAGAACATTTCTTTTATTTCGCTTTAGTTCGTTGGTTTGAGCAATGGGAAGGGTTTTTTAGGGTATCAATGCTTATTATATTTGTTATATGTTTGTGTAGGCTAGCATAAGTACAATATTTGTTTCCCTTTATTACAAAAGTAATTCGTATATTATTTTTAAAAAATTCCCTTGCTTTTCTTCTCGTCCCTTGATTTTAACTTTTAAAAACAAGAAATATTTCGTTTTGTTTTTGAAAAATATAAAAAATTTGCAATTCCAATTCAAAGAGATTTTAATTATCTTCGAATCTATGATGAGGCAAAAATCTAGGACAGCAACTATATTTTTCTGTTTTATTATTTTGTATTCATAAATGTGGTTGTTTTAAAGGTTGTTCATGAATCATAAGAAATTGTTTAAAAAATCTATTGTATTACTCTAAGCATTGTTTTATTTTGTAATTTTTTTCTGAAGATTTCATCAAACACTGCAAATTAAATTCTAAAACGCAAAACAACTTCAACTCTTGCATCTAATTAATTAAAGCTTGGAATTTATATCTCCTTTCTAAAGACCTTTCGGCATTTCATAGGAACTTCAATTCTAATAAAAAATAACGGCAGAACTGGAATATTCAAGTCGGAAAATGAGCATAAATGAAGATTGGAAGATTAATAAGACTGGAAAACATAGAAAAGCCTCATAAACACATTGAAACAATGACAAGATGACAACATAAGTTTACGATTCGAAAAATTAAGAACTATTCGGTAAACAGAGTTCTATCGGAACCGAATTATTCTTCATACAAAGTAAGCAATATTATACGATCTATTGCATATGTTTTATAGAGCAATTATCCTATAATTATACCGTTCAACTGAAAATATTATTCATTTTTAAAATAGTACTAATAGGATAGTGAATCTAAAATATTATGCATTATTTCTATACATGTATGTATGTATCTTAAAAGAAAAAAGAAAATATAAATGGAAAAAAATGAGGAAAATAGAAAATGACAGCTTTATTAAGCATCCTTCCCGTTTTTTAAAATAATATTCCATTTGTACGAAAAACAAATAAATTACATTTTTTCTATTTGTATGTATATGCATAAATAAATATGTATATATGTACGAAAATAAATATAATGTATTTGAAATATTTTTGTATAAATTTCCAAGAAGAGTCATTCATTCAACAAAAGAATTGAAAATTTTTTGACAAATTTCAAAATATTGTGATGTTTCAGACAATTTTAACATTATTAGAAATGTTTTTTTTGTGTCTTTGCATATATTTTCTCAGACATATTTATTTTAAGCACTTACATATATACATACATAATATATATGTATTTATTATTTTATATGGTATTGTGTATGTAAATTAACATGGAAAATTGATTTTCGTATTTTATAAAGAATAAAAGGAAAAAGAAGGACTCATTTTAATTTTAAAGTTTTTTTTTTATTTTCAGACTTGTAATGCTCTTTTATTGCATTAAAATTTGGGTAATGTAAATACTAAATTCTTAAATAATTTAACAAGAATATTAAGATTGACATTATTAAGTTAATATATGTATAAATTATTATGAATGACGTTATTAAAAGATTTAATTGGTGTAGTATAATTTGAGTTCTTTGCATTTACAGATTATAAATATATGTATATAGTTTAAGTGTAATGGCATAATATGTTTCAAATTATGACTGAATTAAATTATTTTAATTGGATAACATTATTTTATAAGAATTGTCCAATAAAAATGCTTGTAAACTAATTTGTAAATCATTTTGAACGACAAATTGAAATCATTTCTGGAACAAATTTTAGAATGCGAACTTAAATTTAAGTTATTTCTTATCTACAAAGAAATTCTCCTATTATTTTTTAATAAAAAATTAGTCATAAATAACTAATATTTTAATTATTACTTATTATTATTAATTTTTATTTCATATTTCAAAAAGTAATTAGGTTTTTATCTGCTTTTATGACATATCCAAATTAAAAGTATTAAACCAACTCATGAGACCTCGTATTTTTGCGTCTAACAAGCTGGCATTCCAGACTAATAAAGTTTTAATTGTAAGTCAATCGAGCTGTCGTAATACTAAGGTAATGCGATGACGAATTCTTTTATTGGGTGTCTATTCTCTAGTCTTGCGTGTAATACTTAGAGTTTTGACTTCTGAAAAACAACTTAAGTTCAAAATTCTATTTAATCAAAATTTTGAAAGTATAAAAAAGTATTGAAAAATATAAATTCCTTAAGAAACATGAAGTTTTGGCTCACTCCATCGTTGACTCGTTTAAATAATGAAACTAAAGATTCTAATTTTTAAAAATATTCTCATTTCAAAATTGATTATATTAGAACATTTTTCTTATATGAGGCGACTTCCCAGTAAAATTCAATAAAATATTTAAAATGTTCTCATTTTTCTGTCTTTGGCGTTTCAATTTTATTTGGGTTTCTATTCTTTCTTTAATCACTATTTTATGAACATTTTTATTAAAGAAATCTTTGTTTAGCCATTCATTTATTTTTTACATTTTCATTTTCAATCACCAAACAACAATAAGTATGGTATTTCTAACAATAGTCCAATTAAAATTTTTTGAACTTCTTAAAAAAATGAATTTTTTTGCCTTTGTCTGTAAATTTTATAGACCCAATAAGTGCGTGTTGTTTACCACTTAAGATTTTAAACTTTTAATTTTTTAAATTGAATAATTAGGAGATGTTCATAAACTGTCACTTCGCAATTACATATGAGATAATTTAGAGTTGCTAAAATGGATCAGCATTAAAAATTTTCTGCAATAAAAATTTTAAAAGATTAATTTATAAGCTCACATATGCAATTGTGGGATATTCATGCAATTTTAATGCAATAAATAAGTAATTTTGAATTTTTTTATTTTGAATATGCCTCTAGTATTTAACCTACAATGTTGCAAAAGCGAAACATCTTACGAATTGAATTTCTGGCTTATAATTAGGTATTATATTATAAACGTTCCATTATATTGCAAAACTAGGTATTCTTAATTCTTTTATATTTATATTTTTTCTATTCACAATATGAACAAGTTCAATAAAGTTTTCTATGCAATTATAACGCTAATTAAATTGCAAAAAAAAATGAAATTAATTTTACATTTACCCATAAAAAATACTGAATCGAGTTGTACTAATGATTGTTATTAACTAATACAAGTTTATAAAAATCTTAACAATCTGAGACCTATCGCACAATGTAGGTATTGTAACATTTCGTACTTAAATTGAAATATCCAAAATATACTAACAAATTGATAATAAAACTTTGTATATTCAAAATATTCTTGTACATATACAATATATATATATATATATACATATAATTTTATATTATTTTCACCGTTACAAAAATTAAAACTATTGCTTTTCTATGGCGAGACAAAATGTAAAATGAAAATCTATTTAATGTCCTTTTAACAGTGTCCTTTTAAGATTTATTCAAAACAACATCAGCACACTTAAAGAACTAAAAAAAAAGAAAATCTTGCATAATGATCACATATTGTCAGAGTATCGGTCCCATAACAAAGTTTTAACTGAACAGTAGATGACGCAAACAACGAAAAAATGCAATAACAAAACAATAAAAACATTTTATTTCTTTTCTTAAATAGTTTTGTTAGCGATTCTTTTGAAAAATATTTTAAGAATGACTGTGTTGTAACAATGATTCGTGTTACATTAAAATCTTAAATAATAGAAGAATGTTACCGCATATATTTGGATGTTTTTGTCTGAAAATTTTATATGTTTATGCGACGAGAATTAATTTTCGTGAAATATTACGTAAAACTTTAAGAATTCTATACATAAATCGTGCTTTCTTCAGTATTATGAGTTCAACTAATGAACATTAAGTTTATTGTTATACTGGACGACATATTTGTTTTGTGAAATTATTGTAAAATTGTAGAATAGCCAAAAGTGTTGTCCTTCGAAAATTTATTTTATGATTGAATTTGCAGTTAAACAATTGTGTTGAACGCTATTGGAATACGAGGTCTTAAGAATTTTGCAATTTTCTCATCCAAATGCATAGTAAAATTGAAAATAGTTATATAATATTTAAAAGTAAGTAACTTTTATCTTTCTTCTAAAACTTTGCTAACAAAATTTATATTGAATCTAACTTTCGAAGTATCTGGAATTTACAAATTTCACAAATAAATCTGTAAAACTTTTGGTATATTATTACTTTTAAATGATTAAAGTTTAAGCAAATTTTCCATTAATAGAATTTGGTAACTCTCACGATATTATGACCACCCACAGATTGTCTGCATCAGAGAATCCGCAAGATTATGAAACATTTTTCCATTTAGAAAATGTGTATATATTATTATTACTGTTGTTGTTGTTATTTTGTTTTTAAAAGGGTTCTTAACTGCAAATGGTGCCAAAGTAACATTTATTCTTATTTTGATTTTCATTATACATACACACTTTCTCTTTAGAAGTGAATGAACTACATTATGATGTTGTGCTACAGTAATAAAATTTTTATATAACAATAATGAAAACTATAACTGTAAACAGAAGCTTTACTATTAATAAAAAGTACTAAAGAATTTTGATGAAAAAACGGATTTTTTTTAAATTTTCATTTTTTATCGTTGTTTTTGCTTTCTTTATTAACATTTTGCGACAAAAATTTTATTCTTCATTTTTTTTTATTTTTCTTGAATTAGAGTTGCAAGCAGTGATTTTATTATAAAAAACTTTCAGAAAATATTTTTTATTCCAACTTATCTGAAC